GTGTGTGTGTGTGTGTGTGTGTGTGTTGGAGGGGTGTGTTCATGAGGAGTGTGTGTGTGTGTGTGTGTGTGTGTTGCAGGAGTGTGTTTATGAGGTGTGTGTGTGTGTGTGTGTTGTAGGAGTGGGAGCAGGGTCTCTGCAGCAGCTGCGTCAGCACCGGACGCTGGGCCGCACTCAGTCGGCTCCTCTGCCCCAGAGTGGACAGGTGCTGCAGCAGCTCGTGGTTCAACAACAGCACCAGCAGTTCCTGGAGAAACACAAGCAGCACTTCCAGCAGCTCCACATCAACAAGGTCAGACATCAGTCTTCTCACCCTACCATGACAGATGAAACGGTTGTAATAACTAGCTGTAGCAGAGAGCGACTCTCAGGTGGACAGGAATAATGTCTGTTACGGTTCGTGTGGTTAATGGTGAATGCTGCATGGAAACGGATAGTTCAGCAGCACATGATGATATGACGACAGTTGAGGGTCTGGGCTGAGTTTACACTCTCGAGTTTTGAGTTCTGCTGAACTTCAGTGATCCTCATGAGACGTGGCCAGATGAGGTCATGTAAGGTCAAGGTTTCATATCAGCAGGACAGGCTTGTTCAGTTTCGCTCTACAGCAGGGGTTTCCTGCAGAGTTTAGTTCCAGTCCTGCTCATCCTGAACATCAGTCTTTGAGCAGCTGGTCTCCGGCTGAGAGCTGCTCACTCTGGAGTTCCTCACGTTCAAGAAGGGAAAAAAGGAAAGCTTGTTTGGAAGAAAAGATAAAGATGAGGCAACAAAAGAGGCTCTGATGTCAGTAATGTTTCTCTGGCGCCTGGTCAGCGGTGTTTGCGGCCTCACTACAGACTAACTGTGATGATGGTACTTCAGCTCGGCTTTGGCACCTTGAGTGCACTGTAGGTCACTGAATAAAAGCATCAAATTCTATTTAATCTCACATCAGTCCCAGTTGCTCTAGCTTGAACCAAAGCAAGTCCATTCAGTCAGAGTTTGAGAAAAGACTTGCTTTCCTACAGTCCCTGCAATCCTCTGTCTAAAGTCTGTAAATTAACCAAACACCTGAATATGGTTCAAGAAAGCAAGTGTTAAATGGTACAAAGTAGAGCGTGGTGCTAACAACGCCAGGGTCATGGGTTTGATTCCCAGAGAATGATATCATGCAATGCGAGTTGCTTTGGAAAAGTTGCTTTTCTCTGTCTGTCTGTCTGTCTGTTAGATGTTGAGTAAACCCTGTGATCGGCAGCACCAGAGCCACCCAGAAGAGACGGAGGAAGCGCTCCGAGAGCAGCAGGATGCCACACAGACGGAAACGCTTTCCATGAGCCTCCTCATTAAACAGGAACCTCCTGATCTCACAGAGGAGCAGAGACAGGAAGAACAAGAGCTGCTCTTCAAACAGGTGCGAGACACCTAGAGCTAGAGACAGCTAGGAGAGCAGTGAGAGAGACGCTGCGTATGTGTCGCCCTCTTGTGGTTGTTGTCAGTGCACAGCACCTGTAATGTGTGTGTGTGTGTGTGTGTGTGTGAGAGCAGCAGGCTCTTCTACTGGAGCAGCAGAGGATCCATCAGCTCAGAAACTACCAGGCGTCCATGGAGGAGGCCGGTGCATCGGTCAGTTTCCCAGGGCACCGTCCTCTGTCCAGAGCCCAGTCATCTCCTGTGTCCGCCTCCTTCATCAGCTCGCAGGAGCAGCCTTCCAAACCATATTTTACCACAGGTGCGTCACACCTGTCCTCTCGGTGACCTCAAAACAGAATTCACAAGGATGAGCGCTCCAGT